CCGGTCATGTTACAACTGAAGTCTTTAGGTGGATGCAAAAACCCTGTAAAGCGATAGGCCCCCCCCCCAAAACGATTTTTTACTTAGCTGTTTACTAATAATGGTAGCTGCTCATATACACACATACCTATGGTGTAACCATAATGGCACCAACTAAACCCGCCTCGACTCTCGTGTACAGAACTGAACAGATTATGTGCAAATGGAGCGGGGTACTCAAATGTTCTTGAACGTATTTAATTAAAGAGGTTTTCTTCAAATCTTCAATTTCCAATTTGGAGGATTCCATGGATTGAAAGGGTTTATCTCAAATCCTCCAAACTGAAGATTGAAGATTGTCAGAAAAGTTTTCTTCAAATCTTCAATTTCCAATTTGGAGGATTTAAACGGCTGTAACGGATGCATCTTGATTCCTCCAAGCTTAAGATTGAAGACCAAAGATTCTCAGAGAGTTTCCTTCAAATCTTCAATTTGCAATTAGGGTTGTTTAAACAGTATTTGATGGATTTATTTTTCGTCCCCCAAATTGAAAATTGAAGATTTAAAGGAAGCTGTGCTGAGAATCTTCAACCTTCAATGCCCAATCTTCAGTTTGGCGGGCTTTACTGCGAATCTTACATCTTCCGTCTTCGAGGATTCAAAATATGTGCGTTCAGAACCGTTCAAATTCCCCCTATAGGAAATCTGAGATTTCAAGGGAAGTGTTATGCCTACATCAAAATTTTTTGGTATGTAGAAAACAACCTGTTCGGTGTAGAAAGCCCGTATACTACAAAAGAGGCAACACTTAGGATGTAAAGGATATTTTTTCAATCTTGTGAATCCTTACAAGAAGCGTGGGAATCTAAAAGATAAAGGAGATTCCTGATTGTGTTTGTTTTCATTTGCATTATGTTAGACAGCTTCCTTTATGTTGATAACAGCCGTATACAATGGATAAAAACAAAGAAAATGAATGCTATTCCTAAGTACAACTAGGTTTCCTCTGGATCAATTTATATGCATGTCTTCTCAAAAACCTCACGAGAATACCAACAGCCTCAGAATCAAGGAGTCTCTAATACTGATAAATTTTCCATTGGGTGCCTCTGCATAAACACATTTTTATCCTGAGAAGAAAAGCTTGTTGAATAACACCGTTGTCTTCAGATTTTTTCATAACATGGACAGGCTACCTGAGGGCTTGGGCATGGTTTCGAGATATATATGGAATCAACAACGTTGTTGCAAATAGAGTTGCTACCCTGCATCCCTTGCGGGGCAGGAATGGACGGCCATGAAGGCCGCATTCCGCGATGGGCAGTGCCGGACTCAGCGAAGAAATGCTTCAAAACCTCAAAGTTAGTTGTCGAATGAAGTGTATGTTGGGGCATTCGTCGGAAAAGAGCAGATGGGTGTGCCATCAAGATGAAACCTTCCCTTGGGGCTCAAATAGCAAGCTGCGTAGCCCCCCTAAAGCTCTGCAATGCTGCTTCCCCAAGATTGGCCCAATTTCCGGCTCCCCGCGGAATTCTAGACAGCGCAGAGAGCGAATGATCCGCATACCCACTTCTTTAGTTTCATCCGCCAAAAATCTCAAGCTCGCTCTCTAGGTGTGCCTCACATCAGGACATCAGAGTATGCAGGCATGATCTGGCTCTTTTGTAGATATGCGGCCCTACCAGGCACGTCGCAAGAGCTCCAAAAAGTTGAAATACTCGAAAGGCACTCCACAGAAGAGTCAAGATTTTCTCCAGGCAAAGATGAGTTGTGCATTTCAATCGCTTTTATTTTACGGCTGCTTATCCACCAGCCTGAATCGCACCATTTCGTCATTGCTCAGAGGGCCCAACGCGGGATCCGTACGGTTTGTGTGGGCTGGGCCATGGCCACATCTGCGTTTCTAATTATCTTTTCGCGTCTGCCTCACATCAAGGCATCAGAAAATGCATGCATGTTCTTGCTACCTTTGCCTTTGCAGTGCTTCCAGGTTGCTCGCAAGATTTCCGAAAGCTCGACGTACTCGAAAGGTATTCTACAACATTTTTGCGGCTCGTTATTCACAAGCTTGAGGAACGAAACACGGAGGTCCGCACCAATTGGTCATTTGCTCAGAGTACCCAATATGACATTCTTACGTCTGTATGGAGTGCCCTTTACAGTCCACTTTCTAGTCATGTTTTCTATACGCTTCATTGGGACTTCTCACCCCACTGCTAATTACCCTAAACCCCCAGCAAAAAAGCACGAAAGCCCTCAACTGCTCTTCATTCACTCCTGGGTGCAGAGTGGAGAGAAGGATTAAAAGTTCCGAAATGACCCCCTCCAATCAATCCATGCCCTCAGCAGCAGGGAGATTTCACGAATTGCATGGAGACCTTTGCTGATCTGTTGAGGCGCGCCCGCAGACAACTCCTGAACTCGCTCCTGTACGAGGCTGCCTGGAATTCTGGTCCTCTGTGACGTTGATGTTCTGAAAGGGTTGATCAGGCGATATGGAGTGGGCTGTCATGCCTGAACAGACAGCTGAGTGTAAGGTTTTGTGGAGCCGAAGGTTGGGATAGAGGTTTCACAAAATGATGGTTCAGCTTATGAAAGGCTACTGGGTTGGTGTGTTTAGGGGGACTCAAGGACTCCGCGGGTGAATGCTGACTGTCATTCCTACTTGCTGGTGCTCACGCAGTTCCGAGTGGGGTAGGAGAACTACAGTTCTTACTTGATCTGAATGACTCATCGCCCACTTATAACTTCTGGTGAACCTTCAGATAGTGGTCCGGTAGGTAACCTGTGACCTTTTCGTTTAACCTGTTGGGACACCACAGTCCTTGCGTAACAAGTATAGTATAGGTATTCGTGAATGTCGCGCAACATATCTGATTCAGGCCCTTGCTCCCTCCAAATGGGAGGCTCATGGATGGAAACGACGGATTCGCAAACCGGGGTGCCTATAGGGATCTACAGTGATCAGAATTATCATGGGGAATTGTATGGAACTCTCGTTGGCACTATATAAAGGGGCTAGTCGAGAACATCTTGAGAAGCTCCCTCATGCTTGGGGTTACTTACCATCAGGATAAACGTAGTCACAAACGCGATAATCAGTCCAGGAAGCTTGCAACTCCGTTTGTAGCGATCTATGAGCCGTCAAGTGGTGAGGGCGGAGAGTTTAGTAGAGCTTAGATATGCTGAATGAGCGGACCAGCGTCCCAACTGGATTGTTGCGAACGTCGCGCTTTTTGTGCAAGTGTTTTGGGTGAGAGGCTTTCAGCAATCACTTGATCCGTGTCCATATGTGCAAGTGCTACCGCTACCGACAAGAGCTCCTATGATGTTAGGATTTTCCGGTCAAGCCCATGCATGTACTGCAGGGGCTGGATAGGATTCGTATGCTCAGGGAAGAGGGGGAAGACACAAACAAAAATGCGTCTGACATAAGCACGTCAAACTGCGACTTGACGAAGAAGCAGTGTCACTTATGCGCACTATTTGCCCCTCCTCTCAAAGGGGGGACTATAATATCATACGATCCCTAAAGGATGCCCCTCTTGTGAACGAGCTGCAGAAGCTGCAGAAGGACACCCAGATATGTGGGCATTGAAAGAACATTATGGGGTCTCCCACCGATTGTAGGGAGATGTTTCTCGCACAGTGTGTTCTCAAGGAAACATTTCACAAATGCGCACGGCTGCAGATATTTGACTGCTT